CGGACTCTTACCAGGAAATGTTTTTGACTTCCCATGGAACTTTGAAAGGAGACCTATGAACATCGATAGAGTTTCGGACGCTGAGTACAAATATGGACATTAAAACTGCTACGTGAACTTTATAAGAAAGTTACGAGCATTCAAAGTTGGCAAAAAACGTTACTGAGGCGAGCTCACCTGATGAAATCACGGATGCTTTTTGTCTGGTTTCTTGTTCTATAAGGGTTAGTGGGTGCCCTGATTACGAATTTGATACTCGTTTTTAGCGCAGAGCCACGGCGAGCGTGATTCCATCAGGTAAGCCTACCTCAGTAACGTTTTTTGCCAACTTTGAATGCTCGTAACTTTCTTATAAAGTTCACGTAGCAGTTTTAATGTCCATATTTGTAATCAGCGTTCAAGACTCTATGGAGTCATCTAGGTCTCCTTCCAAAGTTCCATGGGAAGTTCAAAGCATTTCCTGGTAAGGCATGAATGCATGTGACATAGCACAATGCTCCTTTGCAAAAGATTAGAATCGCCAACTGCGAGTGTTGTGTTGAAACCGTCTCCCGTGATTTTGACTCTACAAAGGGCAAGTTGGTTCACATATAATCTATGCTAAAATAGAAACGTGGTGGAATTGAAAATCGGAAGATCGACAGGCAAACCTTTATCCGCGTCATGCCGCTCTCGCTCGTTAATTCCATTACGTTCATTAGAAGAAAGTGAAAGATGACGTAATATGCCTCTCGCTGATTCTCGCCGCCGTTTAGCTAGCAAGAAAAGACCACAACAAGCGATAATCGAAGCAATTACGACACAAAAGGGAGGTTTTGAAAGAGGAAAACAGAAAAAATTGTCGAAGGCTGGGAATTGGGGTGCTTATCCTTATTAGATGATTTGACAAATTTACAGCTGAGTCAATGACCGTTCAAATGAGGTGATTTCGTAGTCGAGCGATGGGCAAAGATTTCGAAGCCCAGGTTTGGACTGAAAGCATTGAGATGGGAAAAACATGAACAATGACAATGCATTGCGTCAACGACCCGCTTAGGGCCAATTACATTCTGGAGGCGGGGCTAATTTAATCTAGTCTAAATGGCAATACTTCTAGCGCAACCTTTGTCAAAAAACACCTCTCTTTCTTGCCGTTGTATTATCGCTTCCGAAGCGCTCGTTTGAACCACGTTCTATTATCGTGCTCACAGTCTCAAACGACACGTTTCCCAAATTATTGCTTTTTCGGTTTAACGGATACCTTTCAAAGAGTTCAGAAGAGGGCAATAGTCGATGCATGTCTGAGCCTTTTTTAAAAAAATTTTCGAGATTTACCTTTGTCCATTCTCGCGACTGATGTGCATGCTACTGCCCGACTCGCTCGACACTCATATCTTATCAAACCTCACCATATCTTTCGCTTCGACAGTGGTCTACGACCAGTACTTCACATTTGCTACCCTTGTCATATTGTTCTATAGCTAAAATGGTTACCACCTTGGTGACCCTTCATTTTCACCGAATCTTCTTGTGATCGTCATGCAAGTGGCAGTTCAGGCATTTGCACAGAAACTCGGGTTGTATCACTATCTAATCGCACGCTCAGAGCCTCTGCTTCGAATGTTGATTAGATATGAGTGCCTTCCACAACTTCACTTTGGTTAGATATTGTCGCTTTGATTAGATATTATGAGTGGCCTCCTCGAACTACATTTTCACCGCCAAATAGTATGTTTAGATCCACCTACATGACAGCTTATGGCCAACCACCACAGCATTTACTACAACCTTTTGCAGACGGTCCCAACGCTGTATGTATGCTTATTGTTCACACAAAGGTTCAGCATTCAGATAGCGAGCTCATTTAAAGGACATTCAATAGCGCTTATAAAAATTGTGGTGTGGGGAATCATAGAGAATTCCCCTAAATTCCAACAGCTTATCACTTCGAGGTACCTATGATTTACCTCTGTGAACTCGGAAGCCTTAAGGCAAGAATGTACATGTGACCAAAAGCACATGCTCTTTGCACAAAAGTTTAGAATCGCCAACTGCGAGTGTTGAAACCGTCTCCCGTGATTTTGACTCTACAAAGGGCAAGTTGGTTCACATATAATCTATGCTAAAATAGAAACGTGGTGGAATTGAAAATCGGAAGATCGACAGGCAAACCTTTATCCGCGTCATGCCGCTCCTCGTTAATTCATTACGTTCATAGAAGAAATGAGTTACGAATATCGCTTTTCGATGATTCTCGTCTCCTGTTTACCTAGCAGCACAACAAGATATCGAACAATTACGAACACAAAGGGAAGGTTTTTGAAGAGGAAAACAGAAAAATTCTCAAAGCTGAGAAATGGGTGCTTCATTCTAATTCAAGATATTTGACAAATTTACAGCTGAGTTAATGACCGTTCAAATGAGGTGATTTTGTAGTCGAGCGATGGGCGAAGATTTCGAAGCCCAGGTTTGGACTGAAAAGCATTTTTAAGATGGGAAAAACATATGCATTGCGTCATCAACCCGCTTAGGGCCAATTACATTCTGGAGGCGGAGCTAGTTTAATCTAGTCTAACTGGCAATACTTCTAGCGCAACCTTTGTCAAGAAACACCTCCCTTTCTTGCCGTTGTATTATCGCTTCCGAAGCGCTCCTTTGAACCACGTTCTATTTATCGTGCTCACAGTCTCAAACGACACGTTCCCAAATTATCGCTTTTTCGTTTTAACGGATACCTTTCAAAGAGTTCAGAAGAGGGCAATAGTCGATGCATGTCTGAGCCTTTTTTAGAAAATTTTTAGAGATTTACCTTTGTCCATTCTCGCGACTGATGCCTTCCATTGCTCCAACATTTGTCGTAACCAGACTGTCTTCTCATTCTCGACGGTACTCATTTTCTACTGACAATCAGCCCAAGCTGTGAATGGACACGCAAAAGCTGTTAAATTTATCCTAGCTCTATGTTGTGTGCCTGATCACTGGGCGAAGTACAGAAGTTGAAGGACATTTGGCTTGATATCTGGAGGGACCGTAAGTCCTTCCGGCTGAGATATCAAGCTCAAGCCGCAGGGACCGTAAAGTACGCAGACCGTCGTACAGTGTTGCAACATCAATTGCTCTAGAATAAGTCTTCATACATGATTTGTATTTGATTGTATAATATTTTGTGTATCTTTATCGAAGTATCGAGCGTAGTTGTTTCAGGAGGATCTGAAAACGCAGGTATCTGAAAGGGCCATGGACCCTCCACTGCTGAGTAAAGATAGTAGGCATAGGCGTATGTAAGTACCTTTACAACCCTAGATAGGAAAAAAGTATTTTCTAATCAAAGTTGAAACAGGGGCAGAAGAAGTGGAATCATAAAGAGGATTGTCGACGTTAAGAAGCGACCACATTTATCGACACCACAAAGCTCGGCACTGGAAGACACAGCAACTCAGTACGATCTGGATTCAGTACCGCATTTACTGCAAACGTGACATTTTCTGCTGATTTTTGCGAGATGATAAGACGAACAAAGTTCTCTATTTCACAAAAAGGTCACCCAACGCTCTTTATACCAAGTCCTGCACATAAAAAGCCGATTGAAAAAAGAAAGTAATACAACACAAACACAGTGCGGTAAAAAGAGTGGCCGAATCACCGTCCGATCAACACACACCATGGTAATACCACCATATCAACTGAGACAGTAAATTACGAAACATTTGAGTACGACTATTAACCGAGCATCGTATCGCGAGTACCTCAACGGAACAGAGGTATGAACCTCACCATATTCTACCTGAGATAATCCCCAGACCAACCATGCCACATATACCGGCCAGTACCGCATCTGTTTCTTCAAAGATCCATAGTTCCCTGGATTATACGGGTCTTTCTGTCTTCACTAAAAAGCCCTCCGCAGCTATGAAAATGTCATAGAAACTTCCTGTTTCCTTATCACTAATTATCCAAACTTTCTCAACGTTCTGCACGCTTACTCTCCGTGATATTTAGTTTGCCTCTTCACGCCCTATTGCGTAAATTGTCCGACAGCGGCCATCACTACCCGACAAAAACCATACTACACGGCTCGACTGACTACATCTGGTCACCAAAATCATTACCCCACGTCCAATGCCCGGCCATGATATGAACGCGCCCGAACTAGAACAACTGGCAAGCCACAACCACCCGCCGTCTCACTCCTCAAATTGACGAAAATGAACACGCATTAATAGAACGCAAATGCGCAAAGCCGAACTAAGCCACTCGAGACTAATCTCCATCACATCTGAATCAACATTCGCAGAAATTGACTCACGCTAGCTCATTGTCTTTACCTGGCCCACCCACGTATATTTATCACCTTCTCCGATTGCGATATATGATCCACCAGCTTAGGTTTCCTCAAACACGAAAAAAAGCGTGGCTGCTTCCTTAATAGCCGCCCCACATCGTCAACATGAGCATCACGCTCGAAAAGCTCCGCCTTTGAAATGTCCGCCGGACCCTTGACTGAGCACCACCGATGCCCACATATCCCATGATCGAACACACCCACTCGCGTGAATACATGTATGCCTCTCCGCTCACCCCGCCCGCCGTACACACACCTATACCATTCCGGGATGCAGCATACACCGCACACAATTCGACCCACTACACGCTTTTTTATCACATTGGAAACTTTCCTCGGTTCACAGCAGCCGCACGCACAACGCCACCCCAACCACTCTCCTTGTCCTACGTCAATGTCTCAAAGTCCTGTAGTGTGTTCCTTCGCTCGCACGGCATCGTTGAACAAGCTAGTGGCAAGCAGTAACCATTAATTTCGAACCAAACACTCACCACCAACTCATTAATAAAATCACCTCACACCAGCAAAAGAACCCCAAATCCCTATGTTCACAACCCCATGCCACACCTGTTAACCAAACACAATCAACAAAAATCACTGCATCCAAAATTTATTCTCTTTCCGATTCTCACACTTATAAACTTGCAACTGGCGTACATGCATTTGCTAAAATTCGGAGAGCCACAGTATCATTTTCCTTATAACAGAAATAACGCGAGACCCAGAAAATAGGCCAACGCGTCTCTCTAATAAACTTCTGGAACAAAACTGTCCTCGACGTCACCCACGACGCAACCAAGCCACTACCACACAGCCTCACATAATTATGACACACTTATCACCGCCGCATGGCCGCGCCCACCAGAGAAATGCACACACCACCGGCTCACTCTAGACGATGCCACCGCCCAATAAACGCCAACTGATCAAACGTATTGACCAGGCCTAGCACCATGGAACAGATGAATGCGCAATTCTCTGTAACTCGAACAGATGAAGTAAATATTACACTATTCCATCGCTTCAACGAAATGAAACGAAATGCTCCTTTTAATCATACCACCCTCATTCCCTCGCCAGCATCCTCCTGCAAATCGACACATATCTCATGTTACTAGATGTTTCAACGAAATCTTTACGCCCCCACGAGAATATCAGCGCAGAAATCATTTATTTGTGAATATCTCCATCACAAACTCTGCTTCCACACACTTCACACAACAAAATCTGTGGTTACTGTATAGGCCCCCGCGGCGCCCACAAAAATCACCACGCCTCACCGTCCACCCCCCCGACGCGAGCATATATAGCCCCATTACTCCGTCGTGGTAACTAAGTCCACACACAGCACAGACTCTATTTTAGCGAGACACCTGAACCCGACACACTAGTCCATGGACACAACTCTATGCACTTAAGACCACAAGAGCGTGCCTTCTATCTTTCTGTTGGCCAAGCATAATCAGCCTCATCAAGCATAGAACGCGTATTGGGATCACCTCCAGTCGGTGGAAAGTGAATTTTTTGAATATTCTTCTGACAACAGAAAGTAGTGCCAAAAATCGCTAACAATATTTTAGCGGTCCATCAAAACGTCCAGCCATGCCCAACCTACACATTTCTATTTTATACACTCTCTGTCTGGCGAGAGACGTACCAGAGTGACACTACCCTGTCAACGAGTACCCGCGCTCCTCATCGCGGGACTCGAGTTTTTCGTTGACATCAGCAAAATAGGAGCCTTTGCGGAAGCGACGGCCTTCTTTGCCTCCTTCATCGCTATCTGATCGCTCCGATAGCTGTGGAGCCGTCTTTTCGTTAGAAAAGTGTGGTACCGCTTCTTTTTCGCGCGCTTCCTCTCCGACCTGATCCTTTCACAGCCATGCTTGTTTGTCGATTCTCCGCCGTCCAGGCTTAGTCATGCCGAGCTCGGCGACCAACCCGAGTTACATCTTCGGCAGCACCTTTCCAAGTGTCGTCGGCAGTTGATCCGCCGCTGTAAATACGAAAGCGATAGAACACAGCCGCCCTTTTTTTATTCACAAGCCAACTCTGACCTCGTCGCTGGCCCCAACATTTTACAACACCAGTTTACGAGTATTCGGCCACGGGGCGCATAATCGGCTCGAGACCAGATGACCATGAACAAACACGTCCACCAAGACTGTTTACTGATATGAACATATAGAGAAGTACATAAATAAGGCACCAACACTACTCGCTTCGCCAACGAAAGAGTCATTGCTAGTCCATATTCAAAGATTCTATCGAGCCCACTCAAGTAACGTGACCCCAACATTCCAAAACCCTGAGATGTTCAACCCGCCCTCGTACCCACGTGCACATTGAGGTCAACCCCTGCGACCCACTCTGATGGCCTCTTGTTGACGGTACCAACACCCCAACACCCCCCCCCTAAAAGCAATATCTTGCTCATCAATCCTGCCGTCTCCCAGACTGTGTCCTGCTGAGCTCACGCACCCAGCAATAACAACAGACTCTCAGAGCGTAACAACAAAAGTGGTATTCCCGCCTCTAAGCAGTGACAATGATCTATCATTACGCCCCTCACCCCGACCCACATCGCTAGCCACTTACTAGCTCAAGAGGCCCGCCTTTATTGTTCACATCCTTAAAAGGACGAATTCACGATCAGAGGGAAAATCGAATTAGGAAGAATTCACCTGGTTGAGGGACCCGCGGAGCTCCTAAGTGTGCGAACTGAAGCACAATTTGCACAGGAGGAGTTGACCTCGTTGACCTATTAAGGTTTAATCCCGCCGCGGCTGGTCAGTGCACGCCCACCGATCATCTGATCACTCGCCGTCTATACGTGGTGAGTGATTAGATAGGTGAGAGAGCGTAAGCGTTGAAAAGGGCACAGCGATGATAGTCGCATCAATGCTCAAAATCAACGGGCAAGAAAGTGGTCCCATTTCTCAGGTTCTGGGCCGTTTCGCATGGTTTTTCCTTCTTTAGTGTACCACCACCATCTCCGCTATAAAACTAAATTGAAATGAGTTCTTTCCCGCGAGTGCATCACGTCCCTTCTCATCAGCTCCACAAGCATCAACGCGCCAGACCCCCTCAACAAAGTTTGGCGGAACTTTTCCAGAACTAAGCTAGCGCTGCCACCCGCCCAGCCCCCCCCAAAACATCCCAATTACACAAGGAGACCGCTCGCATCCGCTTTTCACACTCGGCCGAAGGCTTGCGAAGTAGAGTCTCCCAATCCCAGCGGACGCCGTGGCATTACAAAGCCTCCTGTATATATCTACTATCTATTAACACCTCTCGGATGTCTTTTCGTCCCACCGGTCCTGTCAGGGAGGAACGCTGTCGCTGATGCACGCACAATCCAAGCTGCCACAAACGTCACGGGAGCTACCTACGACATCAGAGCACACGCACCACCACACCCACACCCAAGCCACGATACCAGAGTCACACTCTCGCTACCCACACCAAAACACTCTCCACCAAACGCCTTATTCAACAAGCGCGAGAAAAATACACATAGACCACTCACCACACCCAAATCAACACCTAACACTATCTCTAATAAACCCACAAGATCAGGGAACAAAGAGATTACAGTATCGGAGCGCATCTATACTCGTTCGACCCACACTTGCACTCACCACTTAAGAAGCCCCTAAGCGAGCCTGATAAACCCACAATCGCACTCTCGAAGTTATAACATGGTCGGGCTCAGGCACGCTAGAGAAGTAATTCCCGTGCCTGGAGGTTGTATGTGGGTAGCTGCACACATTGCAGCAACTTCCCACCTTGAAAAACCCGTTAAGGCCCCGGGGCGTTCGGTTTCAATCCAGGGCCGCCTGGTCAATCCAGGACCGCCCACCTCCGGAAGTGGTGCGTGGCTGGCATAACGTGTGAAATCAGCTAGGTTGATTGCCGTATCAACCGATAGAACGACTGACATCTCCAGAAAACTTGTTTGTACGTGCCTCTTTCCCCAAGCCAGCCTCACTGCTAGTGGGAAAGAGGGTTTTGTTAACGGCCTTGTCGACGGTTTTTCTCAGTTTTTTCTCCACTGTCGTTCCACTTCGCATCTCTATACTCAGTTTCAATCGCCATAATACCCCCTTATTGAGCCCGACTTTTGCCTTTAAATGC